ACAGTCCCTTGCAAACAGTGAAGTAATGGGCTTAAGGTTTTATTATTCGTATAAAGTTTAGTGACTTCAAAATGAACGCGAAGCCAAGCAAGACTTGTTATCCCACTAAAATCTGTGCTGTAACTGAAGCCAGTGCCCAGATGTTCCGTGGTAAAATCCACCGCCTCGCTGCATAAAAGCACCACATACCCTGACGTACACTCCTGGCTTGCCTTTATCCAAACCTACTTAGATTCTGGATTGTTTTTCTAGCAATCCTTTCAACTGCCATGGGAAGCATAAAAGGTGGTCTCCTACAAAACCATTTGGTACCAGCTTAAAATGTAACCATTTGCAGAAATAAATCAGGATTTCTTTTTAATAAACTGTTTATCGCCAGCCTCTTGGGATATAAATTGTAGAAGAAAAAGTAGGGTCTGAGTTTAATAAACATCTCATCTTTTTATATATATTAAGGCAGAAGACCCTGGCACTCTTCAAACTGAAATTTCCAGCAAACAGCCTCCATCCAGCCCTACTGAGGCCATGGGATGGAGCAGAAGGCCACTGCACAGATGGAACTTCCAGGAAAGGGTTTATCCCTTCATTTTTAGGGGATATCTAAGGTAAGCACACCTTGTAAGGAGGACAAAGGGGACTTGAAGACACCCATTCTGCCCCTGCATGCAGTTCTGGTCTGTGAGCCGGGTTGCTTTGGGGCAGCCTGGGCTCTTGAGGCAGTGAAGGATGCTCAAGCTCCAATGAGTGGATGGTGCCACACACAGAGCCACAGCACCGACCCTGCCCACAGCGCTGCATCCCAGCCTGGCTCACAGGAGGAGGATCGGGGTGCTGGGAAAGCCCCGCAGATGGGCCAGAGCTGCGTGCCGGGAGCTGTGAACGACAGATGAACACACTGGCTCTGTGGCGAAGGCATTTAAGCTGAGCAGGGAAGGCAGTGCAGGCGTGACGTGATTTTGAACAGCTTGCTTGACAGTTTGCACCAGATTGTATTTATAAACATTGGGGAAACCTCAGAGCTTTTCCTCCGCATTTCCGAAGTGCTCACCCACAACAACACGGCTGTAGGCGTGCGGGGCGATCCTACACAGCTCTGCCTCATCTTGCTGACAAACTTCTCGCAACTAAATAAAGGGGCCCGGAGTCATCTCAGTGGGATCAGCATCCCACACAGTGCTCAAATTCCCTCTCATCTCACCACCAAATCCTGACTTTCTCTAGGGCAGCTGGGGCATGAGGTGACCTGCCGGCCCATGACACCAGTGGCATGTGCCACCGCCTGTCAGGTGTGCTGGCAGAGCCCGGCATGTCCCCACTCAGGAGTGGGACGTGCATATTTTGTCACTTCACTGGTAGGGTTGCAATGATACCCTGTGGTGCCTGCCCTCCACAGCACAGAAATCAACAGGATTTCTGTCCAGGGCCACATGGAGACAAGGAGAGTGGGATGCACCCACAGTCCTCATCACGGAAATGTGACAAAGAATTTTGCAGACATATTGTAAAGCTCTCCCCAAATTAAGAAGGGCTCATTATCTGCTGACACAGAAAGCCCACAAGGAACAGGTATCGCTGTGCTCACAACAGGGTCAAAAACAGCCACAGGACCCTGGATACATCCACATGGTGCCCATACACGATGCACTACTGCACATCTCTCCACATTCTTAATGGTAAAACTAGAAGGTAAAAATCTCTCAGTGTTTTAAAAAGTCCTCTTCTGCTTCAAATATCAGCAAGTTTTAAATTCTAGACATTGCTCTGAGTACTTCAGAGAGTTGTAGTGGCACTAGAAAGCTGACCTGGGCAGCTCTCCTGCAGGTACGCGTTTCGCTATGAGGCAGGAGAGCGTGGCTGGGAGGATGAGGCATTCCTGACAAGAAGCAATCTGAAATACCATTCCTAAAATAGTTCACATTCAGCGATTTTCAAAGTAGGCTAAGCAGAAACACAAAGTTTTTCCCTCAGCTCTCTCATGGCACAGCTAAGGGTGCTGATGGTGTCTAACACTCCAGCGCTGTTTTTATGGAAACCAGGTTATGGCCAAGGCAGCAGTGCCTGGCCAGGGTCACCGATGCCATAAATCACTCGCTGCCAACCGCCCAGGGAGGAATTCACCCTCACATCACTCTCAGCCCTTCCACTTTTACAGGCACAACTCCACTGTCTCAACCAAGCGTGAAATGGGTGCATCGAGGCTGGGAGCCCAGCCTCAGTGCTGGATGGGCTGCCAGAGCAGCCTGACTGCCGGATGCTCCGATGGAGACTGTGCCACACTTGTGCCTCTGAACATCTCCTGCTATCTACGGCTGCTCCCAAACAGCCAGCTGGGACAGGGAGGTCCGGAATTTACGGCAGGGACTTTGCCTTCGCTTTGAGCTCACCTCCAGCAGCTCAGTCGAGCCACGCGAACAGAGATACTGTTTCACTGATCTAATTAATATGGTAACTAGATGTGAATCATCTCCTTTGGTAGAAAAAGGGAAATCCAAGGGAAGCTACAAGCTTCAGGACCCGCTGTCTGAAACCAGCCTTGCCGGGGCTGCCTAGTCCAGGTCGGTGTCCACTGGGATGATTTCCAGAGCAGCCCCGGGTGGCACGGCACAGACAGGATCACGCTCATCCCGGGCACCACGCTAACCATCCGGAGAACCAGGGCACGCTACCGCTCAAGTGTTAAATTCACCCAGAACGAACACACTCAGAGAATCACAGCTTTTCTAAAATCTGCCCTAGCCTTTAACTGCGAAGGTTTAAATACATAAAACTTCTATCTGCAAGTGATTAAACAGCGCTTTGTAGCCATTGTCTCTGCGCTGTCGAAATAAAAACAGAACCAAGGCTGCACGTAGCAAACCTCAGCACTTACATCCCACCGTGGAGTTTTCTGTCTGCTATATTTTTTTTTTTTTTTGGTAAGCACTTTTTCTCCCGAGAAAGACGTATGATGCTGGCGGAGCTGCTGCCTGCCTGGCACACACCGGCTCCGCGGCAGCGCCGGAGGACGAGCCGGGCTTCCCGGCAGCCGCACGGGCTGTGGGGCACACGGCCGCCGCGGGCTTCAAAAGGGCAAAATCGGGGAGGGAAAAAACAAACCTCGAAGGCGAGGGAGGGATCCGAGAGGGCGCCGAGGTTTCTCCGGGCAGCATCCCGCAAAAGCCGCGGCGGAGCGGTGTCGGGAGCGCCGCAGGGACGGCGCCAGGGCGGCCGCGGCCCCGGCCCCGCTCCGGCCGGGGGTCCCGCAGCCGGGTCGGGGCACCGCGCCCCCCGCCCGCCCCGGGGCAATCGGAGGGGGCTGCGCGGGCGGCCCCGCTCCCCGCCCCGCTGCCGGTGCCTTACCTTGCGGCGTCCGGTCCCGTCCCGTCCCGTGCTGTCCCTCCCGCGGCGGGTTGTTTTTTAGGGGGGCGGGTGTTGACCTAGCCCCCGCTCCGGTGGAGACGGGCTGCAGCGGGGACTGTGTCACGCACGTCCCTTCGCGCTTTATAGCCCCTTCCCTTCCCCACCCCTCCCCGCGGGGAAGAAAAAAAAAAAAAAGAAGGAAAAACAATAAAAAACCGAAGAAAGAAGCCGGGAGCCCCCCGGGTACCCTCCGCTGCCCGGGGCGAGGGCACGGCTCCGGCTTCGCCTCCCGGGAGGAGCCGCGGGGCGGCCGAGCGCCGGCAAAAGTTTGGCGGAGGGGGCGCGGAGCGGCGGCGCCCGGCGCGTCTCGCTGCTGCCGCCGGGGCTGGCGGGCAGGGGGTGCCCCGCGGGCGCGGCCGCCCCGCCCCGCCACCGCTCCGCCACCGCAGGGGCGGGCCCGGGGGGAGCCCGCCGCACCGCGGGGAGCCCGGCCCGGCCCGCCGGCCCCGGCAGAGCCGCGCAGGGGCAGCGCCGCGCCGCCCGGCTTTGTGCCGCACTCGGCTGCGCTGCCGGAGCCTACGCAACATCCATCTTGGAGGGCTGGATCCCGCCCGAAAGCAAAGCTGGGACGGGGGATTGCGGGGGGTCCGGAGGACGCGGCGCTCCCGCTCCTCTCTTTCACGCGGCCGCTGCTTGAGTCGGCAGGGGCTGCGGGAACGCTGCGGAACATCCCAATAGCGATGGAGGCGGGAGAGACCGTCAAGGATGCGTGAGAAATGGGATTTACTAAACCCTCCTGCAACTGAGCAAACGGGTCTCGAAGCTACGTGTTCAACCTCTCACCTTGTCCCTCATCACGGTTTGGTCAGAGGCAGCTTTCAGGTTTGGAGGTCGAGGGACAATTTTCTTACTATCACCTGAGAGCTGCAATGAAAAGACAAAAACTATCCTTTGCCATTTAAAAACAAACTCATCTCTTTTTGTGTCCTTTCTGGCACATCAGTCATGAAAACGTCAAGTGCTACATAAGCATTAAACAAGTTATTACTGATAGCAGCTAATGGGTAATTCTCAGAAACTAATCATTCCTGCCCTATTATTTCAACAGATTTGGGGAGCAAAAAAATTTAAAAAGCTTTCCTCTCTCTCTCTCTCTCTTTTTTTTTTTTTTTTTTTTTTTTCCTCCTTGCAAGACAGCTGAGCAAATCTGACAGCAAAGCCTCAGTGGAGGGATGCAAATTGTCATATTCTGCAGGGTGACGTGTAGTGTGACAAACAGCTCCACTCTGTGAAGACACAACCCCCAGAAGAGCTCATGCCTTCGGGACACTCAGCTGTCCAGACCTCTGCTAATTGCCATTAGTTACTGCCACTTACCTCCCACTCTGTCAACTCACAGAACAGCAGGGTCCAGCCAGCCAGCATTCTGCCCAAGGGTCTGCTCAGAAATATAAGTTTACCAAAAGAAACCCAGGCTTAAGAAAAAGAGCCCCGTGGGAGCCCCTATCCAGTTATCCTTCTGTTTTCACGTCCCTATTTTTACATATTTAACAACCCTATTCATCGTTTTCAAATAGATTTTAAGTGTAGGAGTTTAGGGAAGGCAGAAAGACACAGGTTTAAGGTAAATTTATGTATATTTAAGGAGAACCAAAAAATACCTGGTATTTGCACACAGCATTCCCGACTTCTTCCCTTCCTTGAAGATCGTTTGCTTCCAACTGCAGCACCTCAATAAGAAAATCTCAGCAAACTACATGTGCTCCTCTTCTGATGCAGAAGACGCAGAGATTTGATCATCCAAAAACAGGAGAAGCTGACTAAATGAGAAAGCTGAAATTAGTGAGGAAAATCTGGCACATTCTGACACACTTTCCCCCAAGCCTTCGGAGCGTACAGGAGCCAGCAGGGAGGGATGTGCTCAGGTGAAGGCAGCAGCTACCTCCGGGTGCAATTCATGGCACAACAGGGTTTTGTAGAGCCTGCAAAGATGGCTGGCTCAGGTTTGAGGTCATTAGAGGTAAAATATTGCTGCCCAGCCAAAGAGCTCTGGAGACCGTGTGCCTCACACGCAGGCAAACCGATTATTTTGAAGCCACGGACAGCTTTAGTGCTATTGTTCTTAGGGGGTATCACTGTCGTGATTCCAGGGGAAGCAATGTGACATCCCTGGGATGTTATTTGCAGGGCTGTGTGCACAGATAGCTCCTCTGCACAGATAACTCTCGTTTTGGATGCCTGCAGTTCCACCTCTATCGCCGCTGTAAATCTCCGTCGTGATTTAAAGCCCAGCGCAGAGCGAGACTCCCAGCCAGAGGCACAGTCAAAGCACTTCCACAACAAGATTCAGTTCTACCAAAATTTATAAGGTACAAAAACATTCAACGCAGATACAGGAAGCAGATTTAGGATTTAGATGCTGGAAACTACAGGAATGTCTGGAAGGTGCTGGGGCAGCCTCCTAAATGGAAACCAAGCCATGAAAGCCAAACACAGAAAATTCTCTCATGTAGGTGATTCCTTTGAAATCCATTAAATAGTAGCTGGGATAGTCCCAGCTGCTATCCCAGCTCCCAGAAAACTGCATTGAAATACTCCCCCCTGGAACCAGAGATGATTCACAATCATTTACAGGAATAGGTATGGTCATATACAACACCCATAGCAAGAAGTCCTCAAGTGTAAAATGCTGCTCTTTATGTTTTTGGGGTAAAACTGAGAAACTAAAGGGGCAGAAGAGCAGCAAACTTCTAAATGATTTCTCTCTGGGCAGTCACCTTCTGCTCCCACCCTCTCAGAGGCTTGCAGGGAAGTGAGTAACCAAATTATTCATCCACATGCAGTCTCAAGCTCTGTCTGCAGCCGTGCATCACTTCCTTGGGGGCTGAAACAGCTTTGATTCCAGTGAGCAAATAAATATCCCAAATTTTGAACATGCCTAATTGGATCCCAAGGAGGGCTGTAAACTGTCTGGGTAAAAACTGCACTCCTCACAGTTTCCCCACACTGGGAGGCCCCGTTAGAGCAGATGGATAGGTGCTACCAGGAAGCAAGATGCATGTTATGTACGATGGAGAAAAAGAGCAGGAAATGTTTAATAAGCTATCCAGTGAAAAAAAATCCCAAATAATAAATCCTTCCCAAACAAAAATGGAAACGGGCAATTGGATATCCTAGGAGGGGAGAAAGAAGGATAATTCATCATATAAATAATTCATTGCAAGTTTCAGCAGCCAGTGCTGCTGTGCATTTGGTATGGAAGACAGATGACACTGGGAGTGCTTGCATGTGTGCTTAATTTTGTGCACATACAATTTTTTTGCCAAATTAAATTATTCTCATTGTGGTGCAGATCTGAAGATCTGTTATCAGTACCCCATTGATTAGCATTTATTACTTGGGAGATGGTATTGCTATTTTTTAACATCATAAACTGAAGTGCTAACCCAGCCTTACCGATCGATGCTGCCTGATAACCCAGACCGTGATGGGTTTTAGTTATGCAGCATCACACGGAGCTCACTCTCCCAGAAGAGGGATGGGTGGGACAGCAGGGGCCTCCAGAGGCATCTTGGAAGCCTCTGGCTTGGGAGCTGCTACTGCCTTCCCCAGAAAAGACACACACGAGTGCCCAAGTGGAACCCGAGCAGCAACAGCACCCAGGAAGGGCTAAAACCAAATGCTGTGAGCATGGAGACCATGCTCCTACTTACAGCAGGAATACTGATGGTGCCTACAGGTTTCATCTGAGAAAGAGGGTTTTATTCCTGCCCTTTAGGGAGTAGGTGGGTGCTGCTTGAAGCAGTGATCTGTGACAGAAGTGACAGCCTTGTGGGGCCCAGCAGAGCACGGGCCTGAGCCAACACCTTCCCTTGTGTGCTGCATGAGCACAGCCAGGCACGGAGCACCATGCCCAGCAGACATGGCTGACTCTCTGCTAGCCCTAACCCTGATTTCTTTTCCTAATAAGAGGCATTTTCCTTCCTCTCTCCTGAGGGAAATCAAAAGCTCGTGCAGCGGTTGGAATGAACGCAGCGTTTGCGCTGCGCCCCTGGAAGCGCTGCGGGAGCGGGATAAAAGGAGGCACCCCAACAGCACCGCCCGGCTAGTGCAATACCACAACACCTCCAGGCTGCACCCAGCTGCAGTGCAAGCTAATGCATTGCCACTGACCCCAAGAAATCACACATTTGGCCTGCCTTCAACTCATTACTTGCCCATTTTATCCAGTTATGTTTTATTTATTAAGCTACTCTTGAAACTCTTCTGGCGTTGATTGTTTTACACCTTCAGTGCATTTTTTTTAATCCTACTGTTTTATGAACTGATTAACAAGACTTACTGCTCCAACTGCACAAAAATACAATCCAAATCCAAAATGTGGTCCAATTGAATCAAGCACCCAGTATTGGCTTTTCCATATCACCATTGGAAAACACCTGCTTTTAAACACTGCTGCAGCACTTGTTTTATTTTGCCAAATTCAATATATTATTATAAACCAGTTTGAAGATGAACAACTTCACTCTAAAATCTCAAACACGAATGTGAAAAATAATGACAAGCAGAGCTTTCATGCTCCAAGCGTTATTTCTTAATCATAACTTCATTCTACTGAGAAAGAAAAACAATGCTACTTTGCATAATTTAAATAATCTACTTTCCAGATAAAATTATTAACAAACCATTGATTTAAACTCAAGTGCCCAACACACCCTGTAAACTCTGATGCCAAATATCTATTCTTTTAATTAAAACAAATTATTTTAATGAAGATGACTGGTATGGTAATTAGACCTATTATGAACTACAGGCTACTTTGATCTAGAACACACACCCTTAAATTCCTGTGTGAAGGTGTTTCCATAGACACAGCCCAGACCCAAGTTCTTGTTATATCCCAGTCTTCAAAGAAGAATTGTTTCAGACATGTCACTGCAAAGTGCTGGTTTAAGTCACTATTTTCTCAACACAATTTACACACACACAATGGAGCAACAAGAATCAGCTGTTCAAAAATGGAACTTGAAACTAAATCCTAAACTTCTTTTTTTATTTATTTAATGCCCTTCAGCTCTGCATGTGTGTGGGCAAATAGGATATTCTCCTGCTCATAAATCCTTGGTGCAAGAGAAGTAATTGCAATTCTTAAGGCCAATTTGAAGACTCCATAAATGGTTGCCTGTGAAATGCAAAAGACAGCAAAACCTAGAAGACTGGAATGGGTTTGAAGAACTGATTTTGGATTTATGTGATGGCAACTGATTGAGAAGGATTTACCTTTACTCAGGACAGACAAGGGACGTCTGTAATGTCCTAATTCCTTCCAGGCCACTGAGAAATCCACAGCATCAACCTCCTCTACTTCTTCCTCCATCAAAGTAAGGACCAGCCTTGGACATCCTCAAGTTCTTCCCTTTTGGTTAACCAGTGGCACCCAGGATTCCTGGGAAATGAGAATACTCAATTTACTGAATAGACAGAAAATACCAAGAAAGAAAGAAAAAAGAGGAAAGGTAAATTATCACTCATTGACCAGTGGTACCATTACTGGGAGAACCTGAAACACAGCAGAGCTAAGATTTGATTCTCTGTCATTACTGACAGGGAGCAACGAGAGAACAAACCTTTCTCCTCTGGGGAGCTCCAGTTTCCAACTTTGCCCATTTTCAAGGTCTGCACTACAGGCTGTAACAACACAAAGAGAGGTTAAATTAAGCATGGTGCCACATCTGGCTACTGCAGAACTACAGCCAGCACTCAGAGCACACATCCAGCTCTGTTAAAGCACATACGCTCCTTTTTTCCTACCCAAGTGCATCCAGCAGCACTCAGCAATTAGCAGGGATGTTTTGTGTGCTGGCATTCACATGCACACAGCAGAGGAGAGCTTGAGGCAGTGACAGTGGGATGGCCAGCTTACAGAATGGTTCTTCTAAAGGCATTACTGAAGGCAAACTCATCCTAAATGATTTAGAATAAAAGCTCATCTGACTGGCTTTTGTCTCACAAAGCGAGAAATCCCATGGCATGAGGCAGGAGGCCCAGCTTGGTGCTGGTTGAAATTACTGTTCAGCATGAACACATTTTGTGGTTGGTTGGTGGAGCTTCAAATAAATCTGTGAGCAAGCATGTCTCGCTCAGCTTCACCTTACCCCCAGGATGTCCCCAGTGCTACCAGGATGGGTGGCAGGGAACAGAGGTGTGCTGCAAGGGCTTGTGTGTCTCATCAGGAGGTGAAATCAGTGGCATCCACTGGCTGTGTTTGCCATGCAGGACGTGACTCGTGGCCACCTCGGGCTGTGGGCAGAGCAGGGGCCGAAGCCCCGGTGCCTGCACCACCCATGCTGAAGATAAGCACCACGTCCTCATAGCCAGAGTGTTTACACTGCTCCCTGATGTATTGCTGGGGCTGTTTGATTACACAAATAACAAATGGACTTCTAGAAATGTGTTTTTAAAAGCTTTGGAAGCACAAGGCTGAGAGGTGACGTGCACACCAAAATTAGCAGAGGAATGATGTGTTGATGGACCTCTGAATTCATGGATTACACCTTTGTGGACTAAGACATGCTTAATTCTGCTTTCTTTGCCACACTCCAAAGTTTTATTAGCTGTCTTTTAGGTAACTAAGTTTAAGGCTGAATACTTTTCCTTTCCACTCCCCAGTGTTTGGGATTTTTTTCCTTTTTAGACCACTAAGGAAGTTTTCCACTGCTTTGATTTTACATGGATTTAGTAACTAAGGGATGTAGTTATTATAATTAAATATGAGAAGCACACTAAGGGACAGATATATTTGAGGGAATGAGTGCTAAAACAGTTCTGCAAAATATGACAGTGACAAGAAAATTAAAACATCAGTGAAAGCTCCAAGCACTTCTAGCTGCAAAAACATTTCCTTTTTCCACATCGTTAGCACTGAACGTTTCCTGTTACAAGCAAGAGCTTAGGAGGCCAGGCTTGCTCAACTCAACCCTGTTACTGAAACAATCCAATAAAAAACAGGTCTATGTCCTATTTTCCCAGCTCCTCGCTAGAACTTGATCCCTCAAACACGAGCTCCATCTGGTGGG